TTGTAATGAATTTGGCCATAACTCCAAATCTATGCATTTTCTGCTCATGGACCACTGTGGGAATTTTGTAGGACTTGCCAATAGCTTTCTAATGAGCTTTGAACCAACTCAATTGGATGTGTGGTTAGGGAGTTATGGTCTTGCCCCTTTCAAAACCCTAATTCCCGATTTTTGCGATTAGTCCTCCATCCTTGATCCAATGGTCATGAAACTTCATGGGTAAGTTCAATATGCCATTAGGAACATTTTCTATTCACACTTTAAAGTCAAATTCCTTGTGATTGCAGAGTTAACTTTTCGGCCAACTGAACGATCGATCGATGACTACCGAGTCGACTGTGGCTGTCCCGAGTCTTTTGAGGCCTTGAAATTTCTTGAGTAGACTTCACCAAGCCATATGAACTTCATGGACCATTATCCCTCCATTGGAACACCATTTAAACCAAAAGTCAAACTACAGTTGACCTTTTTCCCCAAATTTCCTGATTTTCAATTGACTGATCAATTGAAGCTCTTACGATTAAAATTGATGGTCAGTCTCTCATCCCCAAACACCTTAGGACATATGTAGATCCATGGAAACAAGTTTTCTTGAAGAAACAAAATTTGTCCTGATTAAAATTGAAACCCTAATTTCACCTTTTTCAACTGCAGCCACTTGCACTTGATATGAACACTTGGGTGAGCTCCACAATGACCCTCAAGGTCTCCAATAAGCTTATGTGATAATATCCCTCCATAACCATGGGCTTTTGGTCTTCAGATTACCTTTAAATGGCCTCCTAAACACATACACTTTTCTGCCTATCCAAAAGGCTTTGACTTGTCTCTGATGATGATAACCACTTGACAACTTTAAAACAAACCCTTGATTAGGTTTAGAACCATTGGCACACACATCTCTTGATCCCCTGTAAGAATGTAAAATGCTATGCAGTGCAATATGCTAGAACAATGAAATGAAACATAAACCAAGTAAAGAAAAGGTTGGGCAAATTTTGGGGTACAACACCCTGTACTTGTCGGGGTTAGATTCAATTCCTCGTTGTGTTAGATAGAAATCGAGGAACTTTCCTGCTCGAACCCCGAACGTGCATTTCTCCAGGTTAAACCGCATATTGTATTTCCTGGCTTGCTCGAAAACCTTCCTCGAGTGGGCCGTGTGATCGGATTCATCATGGGACTTCACGATCATATCGTTCATATAGACTTCGAGCATGTCCCTGATTTCTCCTCGGAAGACCTTGTTCATCATTCTTTGGTAGGTAGCACCAACATTCTTCAAGCCGAAGGGCATTACATTGTAGTAATAATTGCCCGATTCAGTCATGAAGGTCGTGTACTTCTTGCCGCTTTTTGCCATGGGTATTTGGTTGTAGCCCGAGTAGGCGTCCATGAAAGATAGCAATTTAAAACAGGCGGAATTATCAACTATTTTATCTATATTGGGGAGGGGGTATGCGTCTTTAGGGTAAAGCCCTGTTAAGATTGGTATAATCAACACACATGCGCAATTTTCCATTATTCTTTTTAACGAGTACCACATTTGACAACCAAGTTGAGTACTTGGCCTCTGATATAAAATATTTCTCTAAGAGGTCTTTTACAGCTTGCTCAGCAGCCACCATTTTCTTCGAGGACTACCGTCGTCTGTGTTGGGAAACTACTCTGACGGCGGGGTCGATGGTGAGATGGTGACAGGCCACCTCAGGGTCTAGTCCGGACATCTCTGCAGTGCTCCACGCAAACAGATCTGCATTCTCCTAGAGGCATGCTCTCAGTTGTTTCCTCACTAGCTCAAGGAGGCTAGCTTCAATCTTTACTCCTCGCCAGGGGTCGTTGCCAAGCGGGACATGCTCGAATTCTCCATCTGGGATGGGGCGCATTGGATGGGTAGGACAAGCTCGAATTCTCCATGGTAATCGAGAAAATCATCGATATTTTCGATATGGTCGTCTAGATATGTAGTTCCAGCATACGTGCCCAAGGGTGGGGGTTTCTCCAGCCCTCTGGATAGGCGCATGGCCATAATCTCTTGGGACAATGGGTCGTGAGGCTCATTGTCGATGCTGCTGCTGCTAGACCTCGAACGAGAGCGGGTACTTTGTTCGGGGAGAGGACTGCGATCTCTACGGAAGATGGACTCCGAGCTCAGGCCTTGGATCTGAGTGGAGGTGAACGATGACGCTCTTTTCAGATATCCCTTATGGTTCTCTTAGCCCCTGAGGAGTGCTGGCTCTGGGGAAAGGCATGGTCGCGCTTTCTTACTGCCAGATAGTCTGGATCTACTTGTGCTCAACGACCTCTTCCTCGTCTAAGAGAAAGACTTCGGGATCTTCAGCGTTCTTTCCTTGATGGAGAAGATTTTGGTTGGCGAGATTCTTCTAAGGCTCCAATCCTCACGTTCTGTTGGAGGATCAGGAGATTTTTTTGTTGAGGACTTTGAGTAGAGCTTCCATGGTCGGGACGATGTTAAGCGGAATCGGAATGGTCTGATGATCTTTAGAGGCCTAGGCCCCGACGTTGTCAGCATGATCGGGGGAAGGAGACATGATGGCTCCATCTCTCTGCTGATGGACCTCACTCCCAAGAAAGGGGGTTGCTCCGTCAGCGTTTGTCTTGCTAACGGGGAGGATGGCATTGCGAGCATCACAGACGTTGTCATGGTTGGCCATGATCAGAATCATGAAAGAATTGCTTTGATCTTAAATTCACGAAAAAAAGAAGACGGGGAGAACAGAGTTTCCCACAAATGGCACCACTGATCTCGACGGTTGATCAGAACCTGAAATGGGTCAGAGGCTTTATCGGTGATGCTGAGTTGCAAGGATGAGGAGTGAGTGTAACTGCAAGGCACTCCAATGCTAAAGTAAGAATCGGGCGAAGAGAAGGCAAGTACAAAAAGTGTATGTCTAAGGTTGATATGGAATGATTTAGAATACCTGAGTCTCTCAAGTAAGAGGGTTTTATAGTGCCCCTAATGCTTGGCTATTGGTCCCTATTTTCGGAGCGAGATAATCGCTCCCCAAAGAATAGGTAACTGCCAGAAACTAGCCGTTGGGACGGGCATAAGTGCCTGAAACTAGTCGTTGCCACGGGCAAGGGCGCGGTCGTGGGCACGAGCATCGTGACTATTTCTGGATGGTGAAACCGTGCGTGACGGACAAGAATATGACGAGGGACAACTGATTATGGGGGTCAGCTGGCCAGCTTTCTTCGACAGAGGGGCAGAGGAAAAGGAGCTTCACTTTGCCCTTAGTTGGTAGGGCGAAGGCTATTCGTCCGTTTTAGGAGCAGAAGTGGATTGGGCCATGTCTAGCCATTGGGCCAGTCTGGAGCAGTGATATTCATATATGCTTATAAATTATTTATGTTGGTTGTAGTTATTGATGCATGTTGTTGATATTGAAGTTTGAATGTTGTTGTTGTTGTTGTTGAGATTGAAATTTGAATGTTGTTGTTGTTATTGTGATTGAAGTTAGAATGTTGTTGTTTTTGAGATTGAAGTTTGAAAGCTGTTGTTGTTGTTGTTGTTGCTGTGATCAATTCTTTAAAATTTATTGGTGTTGTTGTTGATTGTTTTAATTGATTTTAAATGTGGTTCAAATTATAGGTGTTTAACGATCGGTTACAAAATTCACAGAAGAAAACTTTTGGATTGTCGTACAAGAATTTCTATTTTAGTTTTTTCTTTTGTTGATTAATCATTTATTTAAATTTTGTTGTAAAAAGATAATGTTTATGCCTTTTTAACTTTGCAATTGGTGCAAATAATAAATATTTTTTGTACATAAGAATGTTTCTGTTTAAGAAATGAGTAAAAGTTATTTTTAAAATAATATAAATATTAAGACGAAACCTACTATCTCGGTGATTCATACAACTGAGGGAAAAAATGGGGTATGCTCTCCAACTTTGAAAAAAAAAAAATTGTTTGAGATCGAACACGTGATCAATAAATCTTTTCCCTCGTTGTAAGATCACTTAAGAAAAAAAGTAACAAATTTTCATGACGTTCTTCGTTAGTTTGCATAAGAAACCGAGTTTAAATCCTATCCAAAAATATTTTTAAAAAATCGTATTTTTTGTTTTTGCAAATAAAAATTACAAAAAAAAACTATTTTTTAAGAAAAATTAAAAAACTTAATTTTTTAGAAAAATTAATTTAAAATATTTTTTTTATTTTTAAAAAGTAGATTAGTTTGATTTTTATTTTAGATGTCGACGTCCAAATTATAAATTTGTTTAAAATTCTAAAATCATATTAATGTATTTCTTAAAATTATACGTACTAACAGTTAATTGAATATACATATGACATAAATAATTCGAATATCTGATTAATTTCAGCTCCCTAATCAGGAAAAGGAAGTAACATTTTGATTTATTGAGCAAAACTAATTGAGAGAAGGATTCACACTTTGGGTTAATTATTTTAATGCCAGAATTAGTCACACTAAAAAACAACATTAGTGGATACTTCATACATTGCATGGTTGTAAAAACAACGTCACTATAAGACTTATTCTCAATAACAGAGTACGCAACGAGTGATTAAGGAAAAAGGTTATAAAATATGATACAACTACGTTACACTAAATTAATAAAATGAATCATATATAAAAGGAAATTGCAATACAAGACATGTACTCAACAACAAAATACGCAAAGAGTGATTAGACAACTAAGCTACTCTAATTAAATTTATAAAAAATATGATAATTGACTACTATACACATTATCATTTTTTTCATCATATCTCAACATCCTCAAACCATGTGCAAATGGGGCCTTTCCAACTGTCAAAATTTTGGATTCTCTAACTTTTAAGAAAAAAAATTGTGAAAACTTCATAACAAATCAATAGCATTGCTCTAAAACGTGATATGAATGAAGTTCAAACCAGATTGAATAAAAATATGAGTAAATCCACTGATTAAACAATTCACAAAAATGATGTGTTTTTTTTTTCTTTTTTGCACAAAATGTACACAATTTTGCTATTCAAATGGATCCACCCAACATTTATCTTTCTCGACCGCCTTTTCCCATCGTTTTCTGAAAATATCTAATTCCTGGTATGATAGCCTCCTTACCTGTATATTTGTCACAGAAAACAAATTATTATGAAATTATTTAGATAAGCTATAAGTCATTATCATTTTTGGTCACAAGTCATTTTCAAACTCTTCAAAGATTATATTTTAAGTTGATTATTGCACCAAACTCTAGAAGGTCAATGGAAAAATAATCAAAAAGAAGCCAAGTATAGTAAAACTTACATCAACTCTATGATCCTTTTCCTGAGATGAACCCGAAACCGAAACCTGTAATGCAAGTAACAGTTTATAAGTCTCCGTTCCAACCCAGGTAGAACGAAAATCCGCATCTTAAATAACATGCGTGTTATGAAATCGTAGTCTTAAGAAATCTTGAACATTTTTCCATAGTTGAAATCTATAATAGAGATGCCAATTTTTTTACCGTAGTCTTATCTACGCCACCAAGAGTGGGACGATTGTAGTGGACGATGTATTCAGCATCCACGACACCAACATTTTTTGTTCGATCGCCCTATTCATCATACATAAACAATGTCAGAGGTTCCCTCAATCATGGATCCGTAGAAAATAACGGTTTGTTGATATGAAGTAAGACATAATGAGCATGTGTATATGACTTGCCTGAGAGCAGTAGCCAAGTTGCATATCTAGTCCCCATGCATGGATCAAGTCATTCTGTAAAATAAACGATAAATGATGAACGAAATCGTGTTTTACAAAGTAATTCTTTTGCGACTGCGCGAATGGCACAAAACGATGCGCACCTGAATCATGTACCAAACACAACGCCAAGCGGCTTTTGAGAAAACAGGAGCCATCATTTCTATCCACCTGAAATGCATAAGTTCGTATTTCTTCAACACATAAAATAAATGGAAATCAACATTGAATTTGTCATTGCCAAAAATGTTATTTTTACCCGGTGCATGGAGGAGCAGTGCTACTTTCGTCGCAGCCTTTACCGTCACTACCAGCAGCTTTAAATGTTCTCCTGTGAGCAGTATGTTTTGATCATAACTAGGTCTAAAATCGTGCATACGTTTCATTGTGATTTGTTGACAGTGTAAAACATTTTACAGAGTGACAGTGTATCAAAATTAAACTCTTACAAAATGTGATTGTGGATAAGAAAAATAAGATAGATATGCGCGTGAACCTATGCACTTTCGACCTCCTCCCAAGAGCGGTAATCTGATGATGAACTTCCGATAGTTTAGAATCAAGTGCTGGTTGTGATATCTCAAGGCCTTCTTCTTTGACAATAGAAACATACCTTAAAAATCATAAAGGAAAAAAATAAAAAACACTAATCTTTAATGATGTTGATCAATAATCCGGTGGAAACAAACTAAAAACATATTCTAGTTCTACATACTTCTTAGGATGGAAATTTTCGACGCCTAGGTCCTCGTCCCAAAGGAAAATATAATCATATTCTGCAACTATGTCAGGGTGTAAGAATCGTTTCGCGAACCACCTATCCGTTAAAAACATGTTCAGAGAAGTACATAACACATAAGATGATTAAACATGTACACAAATTCTGAATACATGAACTGAATGTGAAATAAATCAATCACATATACACCTACCATTTGCTTTGATCGACTACGGATATATGAATGACACGTCCATGCCATTTAAATTTCTTCCATTCATCAACAACACCATCGTAATGGAAAAGCATTACACTGAAATTACTTGCTAAAAACTGTGATTTTGTGTGGAAAGAGGGTCATGGTCCATAGATTAAACAGAGTATTAGTTGTAATAAATCATGTTAACAAAAAATAACACATTGAAATACCTTTTTGACCATCTTATGAACTAGGTCTTTTTGCTTTATCCCGACTGCCATTGCAAACAAGTTTGTTGATACATTTCTCTTAACCTATTCAAGATGTAAGCAATTGAATAGTGAGATTAAGTATAAAGATTTTAAGTCCGGCCACATCACAATCTTTGAAATTGCTAAGAATCAGACTCGTCCAATACAACTGACGTGACCTCAATTGCAACGACATCAACACACAAAAAAACGTGATGCCTGGTTGCAACCGCAATCACAGAACAATAGACATAAAGTTGAGTGAAACTCACATGTGGTTCTTGATCATGAGGCTGACCCCTCTTAAAGTGAGGAGGAGTCCATAAAGGTCTCATCTCCAAACTTGAAGTACTCGCGACTATACCTTCCGGTAACGCCTCGCTTCCAATAGGCCTGCACTTCTTCTACTAAACAAATATAAGCACCAAACCCAAAAGCATCGAAAATAACACATGATCAAGGGAAAACAGACCTTGCAACTACTAGAACTTCCCATACTCTGATTTATCGTAAAGCTTGATAGTTTCTGCATAGCACAAAATCAACGAATCGAAAACAATTTCTACTTGGCAAACTCAAAAGTCAAATCGATCATATAAGTACCTCTTTGTAGCTTTGAGAGAAAATAGAATTTGTGAAAAACAAAACAACACATAATAATAGTGCTGCTGGTAAGATTGCATAGAGACATGAGATTTTAGTCTTTGATTCAGCAACCAAAACCGTCGGCTTCAAAACATAAACACAAGGTTAGAGAAATTTAAAAAATAAAACTATGAAATTAGGTTTAAATAATATCCTCGATTTCAAAATAGAAAACCTATAATAAAAAATCATTGCATGATCATGATTGAAAGGAAAAAAAGAAGCGATTACCCGAGAAGATGATGGTTTCATGTCAGGCATTGCAAGATTCAGAGAACAGAATCAAAATTGAAATAAGCAAGACGCAATTGTATTGCGATACGAAGAAGATGAAGAATTAGGGACAGTGACCGTGATGATCATTGAATTTGATCATATTGATCATATCATATAAACGTAATTGAAATTCGTAAGTTTAATTAAACATAATAAATTTTGTTTTGTTAATACATTAAATTTGAAGATTAGAGAGTTAGTTGACGAAAGGAGCGGGAACGCAGAACATTTTCTCTACCACAAACAAATAGCACCCAACGTGTTTTCTTTCTCTCTGTTCTTACAACAGACTTCGAAGCTTGTTTTGTTCCTCACAAATATTCAAACCTTTTAATTTATTCCATCATTCCTCACGTTAAATAATTATATTGGAATTTTTTATATTTATCTAATATTTCCTATTGGTTGGTGATACACGATAGCATGTGCTCACATTTAGTCATTGACTCAGAAAACGTGAAAATGTGAATAATATTGTAATTTATGGGGTTTTTTTTTCCTCTCATTGTTTATTGATCGGTTGAAATTTTCTATTTTTGATATGATTAGAGATTGTAAACTATACTCCCTTTATTTTTATTTCCTATTTCAAAATCATAATAAATAATGTTTATTAACAGTCAATGCGAAAACGTGGATTTTTATAACTAAGACTTTTTAACGGAGCATAAATTTGTTTCGAGGTCAATACAAAACTATTTATAGTAAATTGAAGGTTGGAAGTTTATAAAAAATATTTTTATATATTAACTACATTTAAAAAAAATTTATGCACAATTTCTCTGTCTCAAATTTATATTTTTAAACTAAATAATTTTTTTTTAAATATCAAAAAAATTCCAAAAATATATGTGAGACTAAAATTGTGTTAATAAAATTGATGGTTTAATAATTCGATTCACACGTGATTAGAAATCTATATTAATTAAGAGAAAATAATATAGGTGTTGCGGTGAGAATCAGATATCAATATATTAATTAACTTGAATCACAAATCATGAAGTTCACCACCGAGTTTTAGGAAAGGGTAAAGATCAAAGAAAAACCCTAAGTGCGCTATGTAACAACACGGCTAAGAGATCTAAGATTTGGGGGTTGGTTATACCTAGGGAAGGTGTTAGCATCATAAATATCTGTAGTAATCTACAGGAACCTCTTGTAAGTATTTGTGTTATGATAAAGTTTGCTTGCTAAGAGAAAGGTGCTAAGGTAAAGACCTAAGGTATATACACTAAGTATGATTGCCAAGACATCACATCTCGTGCCTACGTATCCTAACTAGGATAAAATCAGAGCAACTGTAGTTCACCTAACTAGGGATGAGGAACACTTGATAACGATCAAGGTTCCAAAGTGTTCATCACCATGACACTTACATAGAGTTTACAAACTCTACTAAATCTAAATTCAAAAACCTAACTAGGGTTGACTTTAACAAAAGTCAAAGGAAAAAGTGAGTACACATAACCATGATACTCACATAGAGTTTACAAACTCTACACCTAATTCCAAGCTAAAAAGCAGATTGGCTCTAACGAGGCCAAAGCAAAGATCCTAACAAGGTCACAAAGTGGGTAGGAAAGCAATACTAACTATCTTAAAGCTATGACTTACAAGTCAACAGGTAAACCCCTTTCTTTGGAGTGGAAGCAAATAGACAATTAATACGATAAAAGAGGATCAAGTCATGAATATACCGGACACGGAATAGAATCAGGCAAAGATGATAAACACAACATAGTGAGCAAAAGCATAGTCAACGCAAGGATCAAGATTAAGCTCAAACAGAAAGAATCTAAATCACAAGTTAATAAGTTAATGGTCAAGAAAAAAATAATGCAACATTAAAATAAATAAAAAATAATAATAAATAAATCCTACATATTTACATTCTAAACATGATTTTGAAAATTAAAGATTAATTTAATAAGAACATGTTTCTTTGAAGCTTTTAATCTTAAACTAAACTACATAGTCTACAATAAAAGCTATCCAAAAATTAAGATGAAAAATTAATGAAAATTGAAATAAAATTAAGTTATAAAGAAAAAACAAAACCAAAAATCAATTAATCATTGTAAAATAAATGTTTTCTTTTTAAATTAAAAAAATGAAATGAGAGAAAAGAGGGAGAAGGCGTGAGTATTGTGGGTGTGTGTGAAATGGATTTGAAGCGCATATGGGTCTTAATCTCACCATTCAAGTGTAGCAAGAAGAAAAAACCAATAATTTATTTTTACAAAAGAAACAAAATGAAATTAGGTCAATCAAAACAAACACTGTATCAATGTTATGATCATACCTCTCTCTTCCCTTCTTTAGAAAAACAAAATACGCTGCATCTTTTTTAAAAGGAACAGAAGAAAGATAAGTCAAACACGGTCCAGACTCTTCAGAGTAACAACATTATTGAATCCAAAACAAAAATAACGGTAAAAACAAATTGAAGAACAGTGCTCACGTGTTCAATCTAACCTTCTCCAATTCCGTTTCAGATTCGATTTCCTTCACTTCTCGACTTCAATCAATTTGTTCGCAGATTCCAATCGCTTCGACCTCGCTAGATTCGACTCCAATTGTTTAGGTTTGGTATTGACTTCACTTTGATCTTGCTCAATCCATCTTTATTCCTCTCTCTGTTTTGATATTGAAACTGATTTGGGGGTGAATTGTTGAAGGATAGAGGTTTGTAGTTTTGATGGTGTGAGATATGTTGAAGTGAGATCGATAGAAATATTGGTGGTGAGCAATGTGATGCGGAGTTTGAAGTTATGGTGGTTGTAGGAGCTGTTACACGGTAGAAGTCGGTTTGAGGGAGGTTCCAGATGGAAGAAAAAAAAGGTTCTGCAACAGAAAAGGATCTTGTAAATATCAAGGTGAAAAAGAGAAAATCTGGTCATTCAAAATGATTGTGGCGATCTCCTCAGATAACCAGGTCCGTTCTTTTTTGTTCCTCCCCTCTTTTTTTTTCTTTAACTCCCAAAAACCTCCATCTTATAAATTCTTTTGTTTGTTGGATTGTGAAATCCTTTTCACATCAGATTGGTGCAACAATTTTCTGGCCTGGCTCTTTGCAGAGGTTTTGGAGTATAGTGGACAAGTTCAACTTTGGTGCAAATGTGGAGCGGATTTTCACAGGTCTTGGTTTGGGTAGCAAATAGGTTTTTTGCAGTGTTGCAAGATGTAGCAGGTTGTACTAAGGCCTTGCTGAGTGCATGTTTTGGAGTGTTGTATGTTTGAAGTCGTTGTTATTGTCATGAGCTATCAGGTTGTAGCAAAGTTATGTTGGTAACAACATTTTTGCTTCGTATTGTAGGTTATGGTTTTTGTCATTGATTTTGTTGGCTTGTAATGTTACTGTAAGATACTAGTTTTGATCCTTGGAAGAACAAGTCAACAGGTGTGGTATCAAGAGAAACATGTCGTCTCTTTTGTAGTAGCAAGAATAGCAGGATGGTACGGTGGTGATGTTGTGGATTTTGGCTTTTTGTGCAACTTGAATAATAATATTCATAAAAGCTTTTTCCTATTATTTTTACCATTTTGGTTATTAGTAGAAATGTATCACAGGCTTATTGAAATTTGAACTTGGCTATGCATTTGAAACATGCTTGCAACTTGAAACTTATCATGAAGTTGTAAAGAAATTTTGTAACTTGCAACCTTGACATGGGAAGAAACTTAAAAATGAATTCAACATTGAAACTTGAAAATGAACTTGAATCCAGGAATAAACTCATAGATTTGAGACTTGAAATTTGGTTATGACTTGAATTTTGGGTGATGATGAATGTGAAAAGTGGTTGTGAATTTTGATTATGAGCTTTAAAATGGTAATGGATCTCTTGTATATTTTGTAATTAAAATAACTTAGTGGATTTTGGTATTTTGGAAAGAAAATGGTTAACAATTCCAAGAAATGGATATTGGAAATGAGTATGGACATGGATCTAAAAGTGAATGGTTAAAATGCACAAAAATGGTTTGGAAATGGGTTAGGAAAAGTAAACACGGGCTTTGCAAAACACCTCCATCTTTGAGCCACACTTAGACCTTGACTACCATGAATCCTGGACCACGTAACCAGAGCCCTGCAACCTGACTTCACTAGATGAATTTGAATTTGCACAAAACCTTAGTTGATGATCATTGAGTATAAGATACTGATCTAGGACAAATCCATCCTGAGAATAAAGCAATCTTCTCTTCCTTAACCAAGATCAGACCACCTCAGTTGAACCAAAACAGTACTGCACATAATGGACCTGCTAGCCTCAGGTGAAACTCAACTTGAACGATATTTTCCGACCATAAACACCAAGGGTGAGAAACCCTAATATTCCAAAATCCTGATTCAGGACCTTTTTAGTCAAACTATTGATGAACCTTAAACAAGCTACACCCTTGTGATCATTCAGAGAACTGAAGTCGTGCCTTGATAAACCTCTGATGAGAATTGTTCATGACAATTGAAAACCCAACACCTCTACCTTAAACTTGAGTACAATAACCGAAAGAAACAACCTCTGAACAATAGAAATCCGACTCAACAGAAAACCTCTTGTCCAAAACCCTAATTCAACCCCCTTTGAAGCTTCTGAAATCAAACCTTAATTCATAAGTGAAAAAAAACAAGCAAGAGCTGATAAACAGGTTAGTTGTGCAATATGGTGATTGACCTAAATGATATGCAAAAGATCAAAGAATTTGAGGGTAAATTTTGGGGTATGAAAGTTTCCCCTATTTAAACATCCTCACCAGATGACATGAGTGACGAAAATCCACATGAAATCATGGTGGAAGGTATTTAATACAGATAACCGGAATTTTTTCCCTTAGATGCAATGACATGTTATGCTATGGACAAAAGAAAAACTATGCAATGCTGACATGCAATGAATTCTAGCATGATGAAAATTATGGAATTCTAAATGCAAAGAATGCAAACGACAACGAAAGAAAACAAGGATGGAGTCGACACAATG